ACACACACACACACACACACACACACACACACACACACACACACACAGGGGCAGTAGAATCACCAATGCTAGAGGCCGTGCCCTATTGGAAGCGTTTGCAATGCTACCACTGGCGCTGATGAATGACGGACAAAAACACACGTTCAGAAAAGCAGGCTTTGGATCAATGATCGATATCACTTTCGTGAGTGATAGTCTGGTGCCAAAGTGCAAATGGACGCTCAGTGAAGGCTACTCGGGCAGCGACCACCAAGCCATCTTTATGAAGGTTGAGGCTCGGCGAGGCAGAGGAGATAGAGACCGGACTCAAAGGGGTCCGAAGTGGAACGACACGTCGTTCGACGAAGAAACCTTTAGGCTGACATTCTCTTCCCAAGCCATAAGTGGTGATACAGCGGAGCTGCTCGTAGGCGAAGTGTATAACGCTATAAACGAAGCATGCGACGCCTCAATGCCTAGGAGAAGAACGCGCAAAAAAGGCGCCCCGTGCTACTGGTGGAACGCAGAAATAAGCTCGGCTAGGAAGGAGTGCCTTAAGTCCAGAAGATTAGTGCAGCGATCAAGGAGGAAGACAGGCTTTGACAGTCGGGTCCACGCCTACAAATGCCTGCGCAGGGACCTAAAGAAAGCCATTAGGCGCAGCAAGAGAAGCTGTTTTGAGGCTCTCTGCAGAGAGGCTGATGTCAACCCATGGGGAACCGCGTATAAGGTGGTCCTCATGAGACTTAAAGGGCACGGCCGCCCACATGTCACGTGCCCTGTCATGCTGAGTAGAATTGTGACAACACTTTTTCCACATAAGCTGCCGTACCTAGCGGTGGATTTCTTCGGAAGGGAGCAGGAGCCACCCCCTGTTGTTACCACGGAGGACGTGCTTGCGGCCGGCAAAAGAATTGGCGACAAAAAGGCCCCAGGTCCGGATGGAATCCCTAATAAAGCCCTGAAGGCGGCGATTAGGGTAAGGCCTGAGATATTTGCCCAGCTTATACAACAGTGCCTCAGAGAAAGAGTCTTCCCGGAGAAATGGAAAGTGCAGAGACTGGTGCTGATCCCGAAAGGTAACAAGCCGCCGGCTGACCCGTCGTCGTACAAGCCTATCTGTCTCCTGGATACGATGGGCAAGCTGCTAGAGTCGGTAGTGTACGAGCGTCTGCTGAGAGTAGCCGAAGAAAACGGTGCGCTATCTGATAACCAGCACGGCTTCAGAAGGGCGCGGTCGATAATAGACGCCATAAATCACGTAGTGAGGCTGGCGTCCGACGCCATAGCCGGGGATAGGTGGAAAGGGGGCGACAAGAAATACTGTGCCCTGATTACACTGGACGTTAAAATCGCTTTTAACTCGGCGGATTGGGGAGCTGTCCGCAGGGCTCTTATAAGAACGCGGGTCCCAAGGTATCTATTGGACACCATAACGAGTTACTTGTCGAACCGTACATTGGTGTATGAAAACGACAACGGCACAGAACAGTATAAAATATCAGCAGGCGTCCCACAAGGGTCAGTTCTTGGCCCTCTTTTGTGGAACATCATGTATGACTATGTCCTGAGGTTGGAGCTGCCCACCGGCAGAACGAGTATTGGATTCGGCGATTATGTTGCGATAGTGGTGGTCGCAAAGCATATTGCCGATATAGAAGCGAAAGCTACCGAGGCAATCATGCGTATTAAAGGGTGGCTAAATAAGGTGGGCGTAGAGCTGGCTGAACACAAAACGGAAGTCGTGCTGGTGAGCAGCCGGAAGAAGCTAGAGACGTGCGAGATAAGAATCGGGGACCACATTGTGCAGTCAGTCCCCGCGCTCAAATACCTGGGAGTGATAATTGATCACCGCCTAAACTTAGGCGGCACATTGACTACGTGGCGAAGAAAGCAGCAGGCATCCAGACGGCACTAGCAAGGAGCATGCTAAACGTGGGGGGTCTGAAAGCAGCTAGAAGAAAGGTCATAGCCACTGTGGTGACGTCAATCATTAGGTATGCGAGCCCAGTATGGGCGGGTGCATTGACTGTAAAGGCGCCACTCCGAAAATTGGCGGCGATATATCGCCTCAGCGCTCTGAGGCAGATTTGCGCATTCCGAACCGTGTCGGAGGAGGCGGCGCTAGTGCTGGCTGGCAATCTGCCAGTCGACATCCTGGCCGATGAGATGAGCCGCATCTACCAACGGCGTCGCGACAACGATCTCTCCTCGCTAGTTATAAGAGGCGAGGAACGGCTGGTCTCGCTAAGGATTTGGCAATCGAGGTGGGAAAGAACGACCAAAGGAAGGTGGACGTTCGTTCTTATCCCTAACATAAGACGCTGGGTCGACAGACGGCATGGAGAAGTAAACTATTACCTAACCCAGCTTCTGACTGGCCATGGCTGTTTCCGGAAATATCTACACAGATTCGGGCACGACAGTTCGCCTAACTGCCCGGTATGCGAGGATATGGAGGAGGACGCAGAACACGCAATGTTCTACTGCAGCAGGTTCGAGAATGGGCGGCCTCAAGTGCCACCTAACGAGATAACAAGCGCAATGGTTGGCAGTGCAGCAGCCTGGAACGCCGTAGACGCATTCGCCAGCAATACTCTCGTGGAGTTGCGGCGATTGGAGAGGCAACGGGTGGAGAGCAGAGGGAGTGGAAGCCGATGGTGCATTCCACTGAGGTCCGACCATCAGGAGCGTGCTAGCGACAACCAGCCCCCGCGAAGTAATACCTAACGGTGGTCCCGCGGGGGAGAGTGGTAGACGAAGTGTGTGTGGGGGGTAGTTTTTAGTACGTATGCGTCAGGGATGGCGAATCGTGCATGCTGCTACTAAGACCCAGCAGTATCTTTCGAAGATTTTCTACCTCCAGCTCACAGAGCAAAACAAAAAAAAAAAAACACACACAGGGAGAATGATCGTTGCGATTTCGTATCGCGCGGACGTGTTCGAAAGTGCTCCGTTTATATCATAGGCGATTGTTATCAGAAAATTATCCTAGAGTGGAATTCTTGTATCGGAAAGATAAGTAAACGATAATTAAAAGAGTGATAGTGCTTTTGAGCGTCTTATTTAGTTATAAAGGCATTTAAAATATAAAGTGAAAGGTCAGGTTTCGTTTTCTTTATTCTTTTTCTCCCTTTTTCTTCTCTGTGGATTTACCCGCTTTCGTGCTTATTTGGGGGTCGTTCAGTGCCACCCAGGTAAATAAAGAAGATGAGCAAATCACGGGAGGACATTGCCAACTATTGCTGCTATAAAGCAACCCTGTGCATCTGCGAAAGGTTTTAAAACATTACGCAATAGCACAGACTTACTCCTTGTTTTTCAAGGAACAGCTTAGTGTAGCATAGCTGAGGGCGACATTAATTTAACAAGCAGTATTGGTCAACCCTACACCGACCCAAGGCCTCAGAGAATAAAGTAAGTACAAAATTTGTAGAAAATACCGCCAACGCCAAAAACATACGTACAGAAACATACTCTGCACACACAAGAAACGGACTTGTGTACAAGGACGTCAGAAACATACACATACACAAGTAGATATACATAAATACATTAAAATAAACACACACGAACACACGCACACGAACTTATACATAGATATATACATCCACACAAACAAACGTAAGAGGAATTCTCATATACATACATTCATAACTATATATACAAGTAGACTAACATATATAACATTAATACGAAAATTATGCCGGCCAAAACCGGAAATAAAGGGACACCTCAAGGCGCACAAGGCGCCACGGATGATAGTCCGGAAGCGTTCAAAAGGAGTATTCGAATCCAACGCTCACCTGAGCAAATCGCCGGGCAACATACGCAAATGAGAAGTCGGTCCTCTCCACCGATCCTTCAGGAGGAATCTTTGATGATAAGAGAAGGTGAAAATTCTTTTGTCGAGCTAGGAAAGAAAATTGGAGAACTCATCGAAATGATGGCCCCAACTCCTTCTGCTCCGGCTAGGCGTACCATTCATCAGCCGATCAGAGATTTGGTGGACATGCTAGCTGTGCTCCATAAAAAAGCCGCAAAAGAGTTAGGAAATAAAATGCCAAAAAAAGCGGTCAGAGATGGCACTACACAGACCGAAAAAGGAGGCAGAGTAAACGCCACGAAAAGGCTCAGAGAGGAGGGATCCACGGATACTACTCCTGTGAAGAAAAGTAAGCGGGCCGGTGATGGGATAAATACCAAAAAGGAGGAGCCAAAGCAATCAAAATGCGGAAATGAAGAGTGGACCGTGGTCCAAACAAAAAATAGAAAGGTCAAGCCAATCAAATTGGTGAATAGGCCGGATGCAATTGTAATCAAGCAAACGGGCACTATGTCATACAGCGATATGCTGAAAAAAAGTTAAAAATGATGGGGAGCTGCAAAAAGTCGGCGAAAATGTGACGAGAATACGGAAGACACTGAAAGGAGAAATGCTGCTGGAGTTTAAGCAAAGTGCGAAGGAAGAAAACTCTGCTTACCAGAAATTGATGGAAAAAGCGCTAGGCCAGGAGGCTATTGTCAAACTAATGACCACGCAGACAAAGATCGAATTTAAGGACCTGGATGAAGTTACGTCAGCGGATGACTTAATAGCTGCCATAAATACGAGCTTCAGTAGTCTAAATATCAAGAAGGAAGCAGTCACCTCAATTAGGAAGGCGTATGTCGGCACACAAACTGCAACTCTATCGGTTCCAACAAAAACTGCTAAAGAGTTACTTGAAGCCGGGAAAATATAAGTTGGCTGGGTAGTGAGCAGGATTAGAGAAAAATCCACAGATCCTAAATGCTTTAGATGCTTCGAGGCAGGCGACATTGCTAGAAATTGCAAAGGAAAGACAGATAGAAGCAAGTTCTGTCTAAAATGCAGCGAAGAAGGGCACCGCGCAAGAGACTGCAATAAGAGCCCGTGTTG